GAACAAAATGTGGCTGCCACCTCTGCAAATTAGCTTCCCTTTTGGAGATGTAAAGAACTGGGGCATGAAGGGAAAGGCCTCTCTGGTAGACCACATGACTGAATATATTGCTGGCCCCCTGACTACCTGAAAGAGCTGTCTGTACACAGTGTAAGTGGGATTTTGTCTGGGTGTGTGTCATCTCTAGAAAGAAAGCATTTAGCCTTTGAGGGAAGAGTAATGGTGTGTGGCAGTGAAAGGGGTCATTCGAGTGGAGGTCAGAAGAGCCCATAAGTATGTAGGGAGCATGTGTTTCTGCACACACAGTGGGATTTATAGATATAAAAATGAAATACATAGTCTATAAAACACGTAATATTATTTATACATAGATATTTATACACACACAAGAGCATAGGCAGGTGTGCACACCAACAAGGACAATATGCAAAGCCAATGGGGTTGCACAAGGCTGTTTCCAGAAGGCAGGGGGAGAGGGGGCCTGCTTGCCAGCAGGCTAGCACAGCTGAGCGGATTTGCTCTTCGAGTTCATTATTTACTGGGTCCAATTAGGAAGCCAGGGGATAGGAAATGTGGCTGAGGCAAGCGGGCCTTCAAAGCCTTCCTCCTGCACACATCAAAGCCGCCTGCCGCAGATCCCTCTGCAAAAAGAGTTCTGTCAGCTCCAAGCAGCAGCAGCCGCCTGGCTCGTGCTGCTCGGGGTCGTTCCCTATTGGTTTGATTGTCAAGCCTCCCAGGCTCGTACTCTCTCTATCTCCAGCCTCCAGAGCAGAAAGCTCCTCTTTCTGATTTACTGGGACAGAGTTAAGGAGCTACAGCTTGGCAAGATGGTGTTTAATGGGGCTGCAACAACCAACCAAGCTAACTATGAACGTGTGAAAGGCAAAAAACCTGCAGGGAAGCAGGTTGCCTAAAGTCACAGGAGGGGATGATTTGGGATGAGAAGAGCTGCACTGTGTGAATAGTGATCCCCTTAGGGAAACCTGAAAGGCCCCCCACTGAGAAAGGGCTGTACTGAACCAGGCAGAACAGCCAGGAGACAGCCCTTGTCAGTGAGGGAGCTTTGGCAGAAGGGTCAGAATTTCATCCCTTGAAAACATGCTCAAGGCAAATGTCTGCTCTTAATGGGAATGGAGTGGCTTGCTTGCCAGAAGCTGGCAATCCCTCTCTTCACCTAATAGAATATGTTCATTGTCATCAGTACCAAGGAGCATTGTCCAAGCCTTCTCCCTCCCTGCTTTGATAAACTGCATAGTGACAACCATCAGTTCCCTGACAAAGCTGGCTCCTGCGCAGAAACATTTGTAAATTCACTCGATGGATAAAGCTCTGTTCCTGCACCCACTACTCCCTGTTTGCCTTCGAGGTTAGAGTTAATATGACTCACCTAATCTGGCTGCCAAAGTGAATTAGTGAAAACATCTCTACAGCTCTCTGCAAGATATCACAACCTGACATTTCTCTAACACACTGTGATACATCTATCCTCTCCATGGTCTTTATTACAACACCTTGATTTTATATAAACGCTTTTTGTTAGAAATGGTTAATGTACTCTTAGAGGGGACAAGGCAGCAAGCAAAAGGGTCTGTCTTGCAAGTGAGAGCAGCTAAGTTCTTGTAGCAAAATGTTGATGCCCAGGGTCACCAGTGCAGGGACAAGAACAGTGCTACCACTATTTCAGCAAGAGACTGTCACAGAAACTTTCCCTGAAGTGTTGTGCTTGTATCTGTGTCCTGGAGCAGGGGAACGAGGAACTGAATAGGGTTATTGATGTCTTTGGCATGCCCTTTAAAACAGAAGTCCTGCCTTTCACTTACCTCTAGAGAACTCCACTGGGCAAACCAGCAACTCATCATGTCTTGGGAGGGGTTTTGCGCAGCTGTAAATGCTCTCCTGCTGGACAGGGTACACGGTACATTTTAAGTGCGTGTATGTATGCAGGGGAGAAGCTAAAAACCATCTTCCATTGAGAAAGTATGTACCCTTTTAGGATACTTTGGCATTTCATTGATGTGGTTCTCTGACAGACAGACTGAACAGCACCCTTAATAAGCGTGCCACTCCATTAGAGCTGGTTAAGTCACCCTCAACCCTGTTTTCATTATGGTGACAGTCTTGTGACAAGGGCAAATTGCAGGAGAAGCCAGCCCCCCTTGGAATGAACCCTGTGTATAAACAAGGCAGAATGGCAGAGCAAATGATTTGCAAAACGGAGGCAAATTACGTTTTAACCTTTTCTTTCTGAGTCTTTCCCTGATGTCTGATTAACTTTCCAGTCAACTGACTAACCTACCAACTGGGAGTGCTGCTGCGAAAGGAGGGTAGTGTTGGTTGTCAGTTTAAATTGGGGGTGGGATTTTAAAAGTGCTTTATTAGCAGGTAGCAATATGTCATAAGAGGATGTGGGAATTAAAAGGGTTCCCAAACAGAAATGATTCATGCTATAGCAAAAACACAAACAGCATATTTGCTATACAGACAGTAGCACAGTGCAGAAGTTGTGACCCAGTCCTTTATCTGTGTTCAGCCCTGGTAACACCTCATCTGAAATGCTGTGTTGGGTTTGGGATATTGCACTGCCAGAAAAATGTGAACCTGTCAGAGGGGTCTAAAAGCAAAGAACGAGAATGATCAAGGGTCTAAAAAAAACCTCACCTACAAAGGAAGGTTGAAAGACCCTGGCAATGTTCAGCCAAAAAAAAAAAAGATGACAACTGAGGGAGGAACAGAAGTGATTTAAAAGTTGATAAAAGGCTATTGCAGGGAAGGAGGGAATGATTTGTTCTTTTTGTCTGTAGTGGCTAAGACAAAAATAATAGCTTTAAATTGCAGCAAGGGAGACTCAGGTCAAACTTCAGGGAAACTTCAGGGTAAGGACAGCAAAGCACAGGAACAGATTGTCTGGAGTGGCTGCCGCTGGAGGGCAGAGGATGGCTGTGTCCCTGACATGACCTATGTGTCCTGCCTTGAGGTTGGGGAGAGGGTTAGGTGGTGACAGAAGTCCTTTCCACAGTGTTGTGACTCACCTAACTTTGGTCCTACAGGGTTCTGTAACATATTCATGAGTTACAGCAATAAAAAACACCTGTGAAAATCCCCCCTTGCTTCCTTCTCCACTGACTTTCCACAGCATCAGCCCCAGTGCACAGCAGAGGACCGAAAGCCATGTCCCAGAGCACCAGGTGCCCAAATGGAGCCAACTTTGCCTCCCTCCTTTGTACAATATGCTGTTCCCATGCAGGAAGGCCCTTCAGCAGGCTATCAGGGGATACAAGAACCAAAGCAGTTGTAAGTTTTAGACATAGCAATGAGATTTCCACTCACCTGAACATCTGGTAGGAGCTCAAAAAAGGGACTGCTGGTTAGCCCTGCTGAAAGAGAGTGGAAACCTTGTCACTACATGAGTTTAATAGGTACACTGCTGTTTTCACACTGAGTCTCCGTGACGGGGGTTGGTTTTCCCCTAGAATGATTCTGAAAATTGCCTGGGAAAAGAAAATAAAAAAGACAAAAATAATTGTGTGAGGGAGAGTTCAGAGCAGATTTTGAAGTTCCTAAAGTCCCTCTCTGATGCAGGAGGGAAATGCATGAAACTGGCATTGCCAGTGTGTGTGGCCAGTCTGACCTGGCCAACATGCGGCAGCAAGTCTGTGCCTCTGTTGTGGGATCCATTGCAGGTGGCTCCATGGCAACTTCAGCTCCAAAGACAGAGCTTACCCACTGCTTTCACACAGTTCCATAAACCAAGGAGAACAGCCCCATCCTTGCAGGCACTATTTGAACTCCATCAAACAACTGTAAGCACTTAGTGAAGTGGGCAGGGTTTCAGAAGTGCTCGGCACCTGCTGAGCAAAAAATGTCTTCTGGGCAGAGACTTGCTTTGGAAAAATCTGCTCTCTGAGGAACCTGAACGTGAGACCTTGTGAGGTGACTTTTTCTTTTTTTTTTTTTTAAATCTGGCTTTTACCCTTTGAGAGTTGGGGGATGCTTTCTCCAAACATACAAATACACAGGCTGGTGCTTCCACATTCTGTAGAGCAGTGCTCATGGCCCTCTCAGAGGAACGAATGTGGTTCAGGTTCTTTCCAAGAGGAGCCTTACTTTGCTTTTGGAAGGAATAGAGTAGATATAACAATCCTAATATTTCATGCTTCCGTAGCAACTTTCCTCCAACAAATCTAATGTGTTTTACATGGGTTAACCTCACCGCCCTTCTCTGACCAGGAGGTGATAAGAGAGGGGGGGCTATTTGCTGCAGTTCGCAGAGGGAGAGAGAAGGACTGACTCACCCAAGGTCGCACAGTGAATTAAAAGCAAGGCCACAGACCTCTCCCGATTCCTGCTCCTGTTCATAACCCCGACTGACACTCGAGCTGCTGTTTTCACAAGTGTGTTAGTGAGGCAGCACAGTTTAAGTATGTCCCTTTCATATGTACAGTAGATCAGGGATGCGTGATGATTATTTGTCTCCACGGATCAAATTACACTTTGTTTCTCTCAGTTGGGCTGTGTTTAACAGCATCTTGATCTGATTGATGGCACTTCAGGGTGGTAGTTGCTCTGAGAGACGGACATTTTTCACAGTTTTGCAGTGGAGAAAAGGGTGCTGACAAAACACCATCACATCTGAGGACCCAGCTAGCCCTGCTTGAAGTAGCAATCAGCCACAGTCTGACTAACCTCTTCTGGTGCTCAGCCATCACACTAGTGAACTTATCTGATCTCAAGTGGTGGAGATTTTGCTTCTTGGCCTGGGCAGCCTGTGAGATGGGATGTGTTGGTACTACTTGTAGCTTCCTTCCAGATTTTCAGTTTTCCATAACTAATAATGCTAGTATCTTGCTGATATGGCTTCTGAAATAACTTTTAAATCGCTCATGACTGTTGCTTATTTGCAGAATCCCTGTCGTGATTGTTCCTCCATAGCTATTCAGCAGGAGGTTTCCCAAATCTGAAAGCCTAACAGAACCATCCCCTGTATTTTTCTGCACTACCAGGCAGAGAGTTCGAAGGCGAGGAAGAGTATCTGGAGATCCTGGGTATCACACGAGAGCAGTCGGGCAAGTATGAATGCAAAGCTGCCAACGAGGTTGCCTCAGCAGACGTCAAGCAAGTCCGGGTCACTGTGAACTGTGAGTACATTGCAGCTGGAACAGGTCAACGGGGAGAACTTTGCCCACAGGCGGGGGTCACTTCAGGATAAATAGAGAAGTGTTTCTGGGTTTATATTATACAATCTGAAAGGGACGGTGCTGAGAAAACTATCTGCACACACTTGCCACAGGATATAGTTTGTGCTTTAAACCTGGTAATATATAAGAAGGGGGGGGGGGGGCAGTCTGCGGGGATAGAGAGAAACAGAGAGGGAGAGAGAGGATCTGTGAGTTGCCCCTGTCTCTCCCCTCAGAAACACTGGCAATGCCTTGTTTTCACTCATTGATATTCGAGTGAACAGTAGCGTGAAGAGAAGCTTCAGCAAGGCAGAGATAAGGGAGGGTTCAGCTGGCTCAGAGCAAACACACGCCTCCCTGCACCCAGCCATCTCAGCAGTGCCTTCACGGGTATCACAGCCCAGGGGACATGCAGTAGAGGCACGTGTTAAGGAGAGGGTACAAAAACTTTAATTTTGTGCTGGTTTCAAGCTCTGTCTAAGAGACCCTTCATGCACCAACGTAATACAGAAAGGGACTTGACCAAAGGATACAGCAGTCCACCTAAAAGCACTGAGAGGCACAGTTAGCTATGTGGCTTCCATCCACACCTGTGTGAGTGGGGCCTGGATCCCATTGCCCATATATGCTTAGACAGATGTCCAGTTCACTCAGCTGGCCTGTTCCTCTAACAGTGACACAAGATATTTCAGACTGATGTTATTCGTGTAATCCTACGTGTGTATATGTCCACCTCTGTACTTGCATGGTTTATATTTGGCACTGGAGTGATTTAAAGTGAATATCTGCATCTACCTGCTTTATTTCCTTACTTGGAGGCTAAAAACTTTGCAGCAAGGATGGATGAATAGGAGATACATCGTCTCTTGACCTTCTTCATTTTATACACCAGAATACTACCTTAAATTTCAATTGGAGATGATTACAGGCATGTTTCAGGGTGCATATTCATGGTCTTGATTCACAGATAGAACTGTCAGGGAGTGGGTTAGGGCAGAGACCTGATGGCAGTAAGTGTTTCAGCCCATCCCAGTCTTAATTTGACAGCACAGGTGATTATAGCACCTTTTAATACCATTCTTGCTCTTTGTCTCTTTCTTTCTCTTTGGGCCATCACATCAGATCAACTTTTCTGTCTTGCTTAGAAGTCAAGGTTATAGGCTCCCTGCAGCATCTTCAGAATCCACAGTTTTTTATAATTCCCTTAGAAACTGGGTGGCAGTGGTTTAATACCAGCTGCTTCATGGGACAAATTTGGCATAAATATGAACTGTAGTAGCAGATTTTCTGCACTAAAAGTGTCGAGGGTTTTTTTCTTGTCAAAAACAGCTGAATTTATAAAACGGAGACATTCCATGATAACCAATTAATATTTTCAAATATTTCTGTGAAACATAATTTCAACGATGCTTTTAATGTGTTTGAAACAGATTGTTTGTATAAAGTCAGAATGTTTGATTTTGACTTAGTTTCAACACATAATAACTATGCCACAGTAAGAGCTTAAACATTTTAGCTGTTGGAATATATGAAAATATAATGTGATAGAGTATTGTAATATTAATATGTGGTGTAATTTGTAATGTAAGCAACTTAAAATTCCATCAGGACAGAACTTTTCCTTTGAAAGAAAGGGAAATAAAATCTAAGAGATCATGAGGACCGTGCAGGAAAAAATCAGTCCTGTTTGAGGAATGAAAGCTAGACATTTGCATACATCTTTCCTGAACCTGCTTCCTTAAACAACACCACAAGTAGCAGAAAGTGCAAAAACTACAGTAAGTTTGAAAAATGGGACCTGCCCAACCTAAGGAGCTTCCTGGCTATCTTTTATCATCTGCTGTGGAGCACCTAGCTTGCCAGCTCAGACCGCAGGAGAGAGCATCTCACTTTGGTCTCACACTACCACCTTCAGGCTTCCTGAGTAATGGCCCTTGCAGCACATCACAGACAGGGAAACTGAGGCCTAGAGAAGAGTGAAAGGAAAACAGCCAAAGGGAACCCACTCCTGGCTTCCCGGGCAGGAAACACCTACATGCAGAGTGTCTGCTTTCTGAATGCAATAGGCTGGTTTAGTCGGGGCTCCCACCTGCCCCTTCTCATGGGAGAGCACTGCAGCAACATTTTAAAGGGGTGAAGATAGGGACTGCTCAGAGCAAGGGCTCCCTGACAGAAGGCTGGGGAGCAGATGCCTGCTGGGATCATTTTCTAAGCCCATAGAAAGGTTCATTCTGTAACTCACCTCTTGTGCCAGATTCAGTGAAATGGAAAAGTCTTGTCTCACTTTAGACAGCAAAAAGATATACTGTTTGAACCAAAATTCAAAGGAGGATGGTTAAAAAAATCACCTTCACTATCCTTTTATTATCCCTCCTCCTTTTCAAATTAAAATATTTGCGTGAACCCACAGCCTTTGAATGTAGGATCCTATTTATGTACACTTATTAATATTTATGATGTTAGAGGGCGCACTGCAATATCCCTAAAGCCCTGCATAAAATCCCAATTAAGGTCAGGAAAGGGATCACATTGAGATGGCTAATGTGTTCACAAACAAATTTCCTTCCATACATTTTCCAAACAGAACTATTTTTTTTTTCTTTGACTGGCACAATCCATTTTGCTTGTCTTTTTCTTTGGCCTTTCAGTACCGAGACGGACACAGACAGCGGAGCTGTACTCTGCACACGCAGAGTGCGCTTTATGGTAACCCAAGTCTCAGAAAAGTAGCTGTCTGAGTTGCAGTCCCATAATCTCAGGGTGTGGAAGTATTAGTGATGAGAGACAAGGCACTTATTCCTTGATCCCTCTCAGCAGCCAAGGGGAAATATTTCTGCCTTTTAACATGTAAAGCTTTATCACTTAACATTTTGAACATGGGGCTGGGATTGAAGATGCTGGTGCCTACCCAACCTGGTACCCAGCCAGTACTGAGACGTAGCTCAAACAGGGCCCACCAATATGTTTTCCAAGTGTGGTTTGTCCATGGCTACAAATTAAGCAGAGGTGGGAACACCATGCTAGGCTGAGGGCAAGCTTCATGCAGAACAGTCACAAGCAAGCCTTCTTGAAGCTTGTCACAAAGCATGACGTCCAGGAACACTTGAGCAGGATTTTTAACCTTAGACACCTAAGGGAAGTGTCTCAACAAGTTATCTGTCTCTCAAAGTTGCACACACAGCTTCTCCTAAAGCTCTTCCCTTTTAAGTTGTGAATGTATTTCCATATCATACATGTTGCCTCAGTCCTTGCTTATTATACTTTTGGCATTAGACAAAGAGTTTGTATGGAAAATAATTTTCATGCTAGTGTTAAATTCCTTTATTCCTTTACTTTTACTGTCTTCCTTTACCCTTGATGAAGTCTTTCTCTCATGTTATCTCTGATGATTCCATGTGAACTAAAGATCCATAGGTAAATATTCATAAATTAGAGAAGTCCATCATTAACCTCAACTCTGCCTGTGTATGCCTATGCATTTATGACAGAATTTTATTCAGCAGTGCTGAAGAGAAGCACATGTAAGGAGCGATGCTAACGTGGTGTATTAGGGAGAGTTCAAAGAGCACGTGTTCTGCAGAGGAGCGGGGGGAACATGTGCCACAGCAAGCAGCAGCTGTGGGCCTCCACTAGCTCGAACAGGTTGCATGAGGAAGCCATCCCTGACATAGTTTTGCTGTTTTGTCACACCTGGAAGTGTGTGAAGTGACCACACGTTTCCTTCCTGCAGACCCTCCCACCATCACAGAGTCCAAGAGCAATGAAGCGGCCACGGGACGACAAGCCTTACTCCGGTGTGAGGCATCAGCAGTGCCCACACCCGATTTCGAATGGTACAGAGATGATACCAGGTAAGACCTTTAGCTCGCCTCTTTTCTTCTCTCCTTTTCCGTCTAATCAATAGTGGATCCTTAGAGCATCACCTATTGTCTTCCCCAACTCTTCTTCTCAAACAAATTGCTCCTTACAATCCATTTGAGTCACAATGACCCATCAGACTCAGCAGAACCAGCATGGTCAAGGCTGGAGGATGCAGTCCCTCTCTGCGCTGGGGATGCTGAAGGAGGTGCAGAGGGTGGAGCTCTTCCCTTTAAGTCAACTCTGGGCCAACACACAATTAAGACAATGTTCATGCATTAAGTAGCCCATGTTACAGATAAAAAGGTAGGTAGTGTTAGTCTCCAATTAGGTAATACCAATCTAGGTGCCTTCATTTAGGGGAAGGAGCTGCTGAGGGAGGTGTGATTCCCCCATCTGTGTAACTTGAGCCTCTTAGATTTGCATATGAGAGTAAAGGAGAAAAGAAAAGGGATCTGTCCTTTATACCTGAGCATTTACCTGGTATTAAGAAGGTTGTGTTATTACCCTAGTTTTTAACATGACATTACAGGCTCTGGGGTGACTTAGCTTTGGCATATGCACACATGAATTGGTTCAAGTATGTACTAGCTTTCAGCTGGCCATGGTGTGTTCATTTCCAGTGTGAGTCTGTGCTGGAAAAATGCTTCCTCCCTTCGCTTGTTTTTTTTTTTTTTTGCTTTTCCACTGCCCTACTGGTGGCATTTCACCCCACTGCACTCTTACTTCCTTTCATTCCCTTCTGTTTTCCATACATGCCTTCTTTGATCTCTGTCTTCTCACATCTCCTTCCCCCCTCCCTCTATCCTCCCCTTCCAGCTGGGCTGAAAGACTTTGGTTTACTGCCTGCCTGGCAGTGATTTCCTTCCCAATACATAGCTACCATTGCACTATACACCTCTTCTTCTGCCTTCCCAGGATAAACAGCGCCAATGGTCTGGAGATAAAGAGCACGGGGAGCCAGTCTCTGCTGATGGTGGCCAATGTCACTGAGGAACACTATGGGAACTACACCTGCGTGGCTGCCAACAAGCTGGGAGTCACAAACGCCAGCCTATACCTTTACAGTAAGTATGGGAGAGGGTAAAGGGAGGCTCTCACAAAGACCAGGCTCTGTAGAAAGCACATGGTGACCAAAACTCAGGAAGGCATCCACTTGACAATCCAGGCCTCTCAAACCTCCAGCCGTGGAGGCTTTCAGCACTCTGCTTCAGATACCTACATGTTCATACTTGCCGTGAAACACAAACACAGCCAAATTAAAAGGTTTACAGGCAAGCCCTTTGATTGACTGGCTTTGGTGAAGTCAGATTTTGTTAAAATAATAAAAGCATGTTTGTTTTAAAGCTGGAAACAAAAAAACCCTTAGAATGACAGCCCCTTTAATAAGTAGACAGAAGGCCAGGGCTCGGAGGATCCATGATAGCTGAGAAATGACAAGTAATTCAGAGAGATGGAGAGAACTAACCACTGAGCCTGAGGAGAACAAGAGACAGTCAAGAAAAAGAGAAATTGGTTTGAAATGGAGGAGAAAGAAATGAGAAAAGACAGAATGACTTTAAATGTGCATACCAGAAGGAACATGGGGGGAAAGGTAAACAGATGAAAAATGGAATAAGATTCTTTGGATCTCATTCTGCTACCTTTCAATTACTAAGTTTGTCTTAGTAAGTGTAAACACACAGAATCTGGGACTAGATAAAATTCTAGAGCAAAATTACCTGCTGGTTTTGAATTTTGCAGCTGATTCAAACCTGCCCATAAACAAAGCCCCTGCTTCTCATCCACGTGTACAACCCATACAAACCATGGTGTATTCAAAATGCAGTTCTCTATTCCAGGCCTAGACTTGGACCACATGTTGTTATTGCCACTAGAGACAGACTGCAGCAAAACTGCCCACTCACACGAGGGACATGTAGACACAAAAGTGACTTATGGCAGTATTCCTTGCATGGTCCTAAATTGAATTAAAACACTCATGTCATGACCTGCATGTCCTTTTAAACAGAAAAACAGATAAGATGTGTGAAGCAGTCAGTATGGGATGCAGTTTAGTCTAGTTTCTACTCTGTGTGGTCAGATTAATCAAACCACTATAAAAAAAACCAGTGTTTTGGTTTGGTTATTTTTAACAGAGGTAGTGCAAAAGGATAAATCCATTTGTATTCCCTGTTTACCACCCTTAGATTTATTTCATGGCAGTTTGAATTTTTGCAAATTTCAGTGTATTTTGTGGAGGTTATTTTCTAAAGAACAGATATTATCATAAAAGAACATATATTTGATTTCCTGTAGCATTGCAGCACACAAAGCAAATTTCTACTTTGAAATTCTTTTCACCCTGGTCTTGTGACTGTCATGAGATTCAAACAAAATCCTCAGGCAGCAATCTGGAACATAATTTTCAAATACTCCAGATTTGTTTTTGCTGATATTAATATAATTCTAAGTTTAGAATCCATTATTTGTGACTGAATTCTAAATTTGGCCCTCTCTCTTGGTTCCTGTTACACAGATGAACTGAAATGCATCACTGAAACAAAATATAAAATGAAATTCAATAATGTATGTATGCACATATGATTTTAGCTGGGGGGTTAGTTTTGCTAGAAAAGCATTTTGCATGACTTCAGAACTTCACCTCAAAGGATCTCAAAGGATTTGCTAGCAATGAATATTTTAATATAACACATTATTTAGAAATGGTTGAGTGTTATTAGCACCGTTTTGCAGTAGGAAGCCAAGGTACAGAGTGAAGAAGTGGTTTACCCATGGTCATAAAATGAGTGGCAGAACCTGTAAGAGACCCAAGGAAATCTCGCGAAGTTGCCATTAACTATTCCAGGAGGAGATGTGGCAACTATTAAAGATGGCTTGCAGCACCAAGGATCCTATTTTATCCCCCTTTTGATGTCTATGAAGAACACTTTCCTTGTTTCAAGTTGTTGGATTTTGTTTATCATTTTTACCTTAGAAATGCAAGGCCTATTTATGCTGGAGAATGCTGGCGAACTTCACAAGAGCCAGGTGAACAGAGGTACAGGAGCTGAGAGAGATTTGATGATTTTCAGTGGACTCTTTCTAACTTGTTTTTTGTTGCTTGGTTAATCCCTGTTTCTTTAGTGTGCACTTGCTTCACAATGTTTCAGGAAATCTGTTCTTCTAGTTAGCGTGGAAGAGAGAAAGAGAGAGAAAAACACAAATTCAGGCAGACTACAGATGGTATTTTGAAGGTAAAGGGGGGAAATGAGTGAAAGGAATCCAGCTTCATAAAGATAAAGAATGCAGCTGAAAAAAACCTACAAGCCCAGATGAAAAAAATTCTGTAGTGATCACACAGTAGCTGAAATAACAGGTAGTGCACACTCCCAGCCACACATCCAGACAGAAAAATAAAGCAGCTTTTGCAAGGTACAGCAGATACTCAAATACTTGGGAGTGTTTTTCATCCCTGGAATCAGAGATTTTATTTCCTTTTTAAATAGAGAACAAGCTCACTGTAGAGCAACATCCCACTAGGGAGGTAAGTACAGCGATGGTTCCTCAGTGTCCCATTGCAGCACAAAAAAGAATGGCAGTGAGAAGTGAAGAAACAACCAGAGAGTTAATAATGAGGTACTGGCAGCTTTGCCTGAGGTGGAGGGCAGACAGGGAGCTAGCAAAGTGATGTGAAAGAACAGTTTAGCAGTAGAGAAAAATGGGTGACTACCATTTCATGAAATCTCAGCCAGCACTGAAAAACTCTCAGAGAGACTGAGTGCCTTAGATGTCAACGTCATAGATAGAAGATGCATTAAAATACAAAAGCAGCTCCCTTGAGCTGTATGAATAGATAGCTAGTGATCTTCCTTAAAGAATGTAGCAGAAGGATTGCCTGCTGTAGGTGGAGAGATTTAATACCCCTCACTCCTGGAGACTCAGTTTACAATAACAAAAAAATGGCCACAACAAAGGTTTAACTTACTCAGGAGCCTGTCTTCAACAGCAATATGGAATATGTTTGCAGACAGGCTACTTAGGTACAGTTTGATGATAAAACCGATCTAATAGCTTGCTGACATCCCTTCCTCCCCACTCCTTTTGCTCACCCTGCTCTCTGCCACATGGTTTCACTTATTCTGCTACTCAGTGGACATCCCACTGAGCCAGATCAACCTGATAAATCAGTGAAAAGGTAACTGAGCTTTACTGCTCACCTCCCCAGAATGCCCCCAAATGTTTTCTTTTGTTGTTCTGAGCTGAATTATTTCATGGACAGGCTTAACAAGCACCAAAGCCCATGCAAGAGAGAAAGCTGTATCATGCATCTGTGGGCATGAGGAGTTGGGAGGCAGGACCATGTTTTGCAGCAGTGATGATCCAGTAGGTCAATTCAGCTCTGTAGAGCCTAGGGGTGTTTGTAAGCCCCAAGCACAAAATATGGTGAGATCTAAGAAAGGGGCAGTAACACACATCTCTGTGAAAATTACCTGATAGAGAGGCAAAGCCAGGGCTGCCATCACAGAGCAACAGAGGTGAAAAGTGATGTCACAACTGAAGGGAAAGGGTTTTACCTCCAGGTGTATTAGGAGGTAGGGATCATGTCTTCTTTTTGTTTTACTCATCTAACAGAGTGCTATGAAAAGCATTATGAGTAAAAGTCACCATTTGTATCTTAACCCATGCTACCCAGAAGTGTATATGTTTCTATATAAGTATATATAAATATACAGCAGATACACATTTGTTGTAGGAACACAGATACATAGGTTTATGTGCAGGTGAGTATACACAGGTATGCACCTGTGTGATGTATAAGCAAGCCCACACACCTCCACCACAGGCACACAGAAGCAGGTACATTCTAGCAAGGCAGAGGAAAGAAATGAAAGCTTTTCCAAATTAGTGACTTCTGCCTCCCGCAGAGCTAGCCCTTCCCATAGGATGAAACAGGAGACAACAGAGCAGTGTTGCACATCCTGATGCAGTCCTGCTGGCTGAGTTGTCTCAGTTATAGGAGACTGCCACCTCAGCAGATGCCATATCATCTGCATCCTTTGGGGAACTAGAAAACATGGAGGTGAAGCAGCCACTGGCATGGACTGTACCAACTAGAAGCAGTGGCAAGCGGGATCCCACCCCTGCCTCCTCGAGAGGCTTCAGGTGGAGTCCAGCTGGTTTGAGGGGCACGTTCCTAAAGTGAGCTAGCACTGGCCTCTAACTTGTCATTATTCATTAGTGTCCCGGCACAAGCGCTGGCTGTGTGCTCGGGCTGACACCCCTTCTTCTAACTCTCTGCCCACACTTCGTTGTGCCTGAGCATTTGCTTACAGTGGTTGCTGTGAGGGTTTGGAGTGTTAACTGGAGCTGAAATCCCTCTTAGTGGTTCTTAGTGCAAACCCTGTGTCTTCCCCCCAGCCGTCACTAACAGGGAGACTCAGGAGACAAGGAAAGTGGTTTGGGGTGACAGTCAGACGGGGCAAGGCTGAGACACTGCTAATGAGCCAGGGTGGAGCAATAAAAGCAGCACACAGCGGGTGAGGGGAATAGAGGTAGAGTCCTTGAATAGAAAGCAGCATGATAATGAGGCCGTAGTGCTTTGCTTTAACTGCTTATGCTGTGCAGCCTGTAGCCTGCTGTGCAGGAAGAAGGTAAAGGGGAGTTGAGTTATTTAACCAAACTAAATAACAAGGAAGTCTTGTCAGCACAACAGCCTGCTTTCGCAGAACAATAGTCCCCTGTTGCTACATAAACACAGAGATCCAGGCTAGATTTGTATTTGATCTCCCCTGTGCCTGCTGTGGATTCAAACAACTCCATTACCACCACGAGGGCAGAAGTTCTGCCAGAGTCACAGGGATCGGCCTGACCTGCTACATCCTTATGGGCTCCAGCGAGGCAGAAACTTACTCTTTGCACCAAGGATACAATATAAAGAGCATTAGCCTCCAAATAGCTGGGCCTGGGTTGATCAGAGAATGAGAGTGGACTACTGACGTATCCTGCCAAGCTCTATGTCCATCAGCAGTGATCTCAGCAGGTAAGCCAGAAGACCACTCATTGTCCCAGGTCTACCATCTGTTGCAGCTAAATGTGTGTGTACCTATGGATCAGTCCATGAGCAGGAACTTAGTACAAGGCATCCAGCAAGTTCTGAAGGCAATGAACTTGACTCTTCAGAGTCAAGCCTGGGGACCTTGTATTCTTGGTTCTATGCCTGGCTCTGCCAACAGTTCAGCATTTGACCATGGGCAAATTGCTTCCTTGCTCTGTGCATCAACTGCACCATCTGTGAAGCAGAATTAACACTACTGTTAGCCTCAGACTACTAATACTGTTAGCCTCAGACTCAAGTCTCTGATACTGTCAGTGCAATTCTTTTGGGATCCTTTCGTGGAAGAAGCAAACTGTGAAGTCAGCAGTGACGTACAACAAAGTCCTGCTGTGACATATAATGAGGACACGTTGTAAAAACCCTATAAACAAGACAGCAGGCTCTGGGTACAACTGGATTATGATGAGTGCAAAAACTCTGTTCCTTTCTGAGGAACAAAACTCTAAAGAAGGATTCTGCACGGTGATTGCTCCCATGCACAGATCCTCAGGGGACCTGTCACTGGGAAGAAATTCATTGTGGAGAAGGTTCTGGGGAGGCAGCAACTACCCATGGAGGACTTCCACAACGCACCTCTCTTCCAAGACTAGCTTCCAGAAAGAGGTGTAGCTAAGAAGAATTGCAGAATGATGACATGAGTGGTCTTGAAAGTCAGAGGGAAGATATGGCCCATCAACTTCAATTACCTTCACTGCAGATGCTTAATCCCTCTTGCTGTGTGGCTGTTATTTGTTTAGTTTTTCAAATGACTTCTCTCTGACTCCTAGTCCCAGGGGTTGTTGATGTGTATTAGGCGTGTTGCTAGCAAAATGCTCTGTATATGAAACCTACTCTAGTTCATCTAATTTGGGGATGGACAACTCCATCAGGTTTGTATCTGCTGCTTGCTTGGTGTGAAAAGTGGCTTGTCCTTTTCTCCTGCATGTTGCTTATTGTTTTTTTTCCCCCCTTAGAACGAGTTTTACCCACACTCCCCAATCCTTTTCCAGGTCAGTATATGTTTTATGTTGAAGTAGCTCTTTAGCCGGGTCATTCTCCGTCATCCTGACAAGTGCTCAGAGTTAGTGATGGGCAAAACGGCTCAGAAATGCAGGAAAATAAGGGCTTTCCCTTTTCATTTACATGTCATTTTGTCTTTTCTGCTCACCTTCCTCTTTCCCCCTCTCTTTTCAAAAAAACAATCAATGGAACAGCAACAATCAACCTTTAGCCAAACTTTGAGCAGTGACATTGTGTTGTCATGCAGGTCTGGACAGTTTTCAGTGAGGTTCACTTTGTCTGCAGACCTACACGTAATGTATATTTCCATCCTAAGCTGTCTTTGCCCACTTGTTCAGATTTGGATCAAAAGCATAAGCAGAGCTAAAATTTTGCAGAGACAGTAGAAGGGACAAGTGAAAAGCTAAAACTGAAAATGCTGCCAGAAGGTTTTTTCATTCTAGTTGTGCAGCTAGATGCAACTGCATCCACAGGAAAACACATTGTTTTCTGAATCTTTTGTCACACTGCTCCAAGTCTGCCAGTCACGTAGTCCTGCATTTGATGCAGAGAGCATGTAAAGAGGCATGGTGAGGTGTTACTGTCTGCTTTATTCCAAGGGAAGAAGGTGTGAAGGCAAAACAGAGTCTGTGTGGTTTTCCCACCAGAAAACAGAGTCTGGATGTTGTGTCTGTGCTGCCCAGTCATGCCTCAGGTCCTGGCATTGTTGCCCCAACATCCACATGACACTTGGGGCTTGGTTGTGACCTTGAGATTCTGATACAGCACAGAAACCAGGCATTTCCAGAAAGCAGGCTGCGGCATTTGAAAGTGGTGTTTGAAACTAAATCAACAGTAAGACAGCGAGTCCCTGCGTTCACTTAAAAAAATCTTGGCCTAGAGCCCCTCAGTATCTTTGTTTTACTGCCATATGATGAAGATGCACTCAACTCATGGGATGCTCAGAGACCTAAATTGTTAATGTCTGCGCAGAGCTTTGGGGTAGAGTGTTATTAGGAACCCATGTTGTTTTGCAAAAGAGCACCTGCTTGAACAAAGCACCTGCAGGTACTGCCATGCAAAGAACAATAAATGCTGAGTGTTACACCAGCTCCATTTAACCACTCTGCCGTTTTCAAATCAAGCTCTGCTCTTGGCAACTTATTCAGGTTCAGGATATAGTCACAACTGCCTATTTAAAAGGCAAATCCACAAATACAATTAAAGAAAAGTACCTACAAAAAAAAAAATGAGGGGAGAGGTAGAAATTAGGCTACCATTAAAATTAAATCCCAGAGAGTGATTTGTAAATAACATTCAAGGAGCTGAGGAAAGGAGTAAAGTAGGCCATTGGGAACCTAGTGTGGAAAAATAAATCCAATTAAACACCATTATTATATGTATTGCAAATGAAACTTGTGCTGGGATATGAAATTAAAGTTGCTGAGGCTGTTTAGGATATAAGGTTTTGAGGAGTATTCCAATTTTAGGTGCTATTTTTTTAAGCAGAATTTTCAATGACAAATATTTTTGTCTGATGAAAAACCCAGGGTTCTTTGGTTTTATGATTATTTTTATTATATATCCTTAAATTCCACAGGCAGGCAGTGTTAATTTTTTTCATAGGCAGTCCTGTTTACAGCTGGTTTTGAATTAGTAGCCTATTAACCTTAATGATAAAGCAAAATCTGTGAGTAAGCAAGGCCAGGATTCCCATTACAAATACACCTCCTAATCAAGTTGCCAAGGCCATCCTGCACAGCTTTAGTCTATCCTTTAAAACACTACCCTCTCTCTCTTTGAAGCTGTTATTTTTTTACTGCTCCCCAGTCTCCTGAGATCATCTTGAAGGACATCCTGGTGCGACATCACTTCTGTGAGGAGTCTCCAGGAATTTGTGGTGCCAAATGATGGTATATCTCCAGTGATCCAGGACACACTTAGAGGATTTTGCAGAGGGGGAAAGTAGAGTTTAAATACTCTCGACCTGTTTTCTGAAAGCCCCTACCAGCTTCTGCAGTGTGGGCCGTCAGCACAGATACTGGTGCTTATCTCAACATGTGCTTTTACTTTGCTGTTCACCTTCAAAGAAACCTTGGGCATAACATTTTCTTGTTAGACCTTTTCCTCCCTATGAGTTGACGTTCTGAGATGTAGTCCACAGCTCTCAAATAAGCATCTCCTCAATGACCAAATTCACAGCCTTGTTCCTCTTTTTCGCTTAATTTCCATTTCTCTTAATCCTCAGTAACACTTCCCTGCCCTGTGAGGCTTTGAGCATTAATTTAAAAGGAAGATGTTTTGAGATGAAGCAGCTATCATTAGCTAGCTGCTGTGGAAATATCTTGCTTTCAGGCAGGCTGGAGACTCAGAAGCAGCCCATTCAACTAAACAAATGGGACTTGAATTTGATGAGGCAGTTTCCTAAAAGGCTGGTGGAGCCCAGCTGATTCAGCTCTCAACTGACTTGTCCTTTGGTAATTTTTCCAGCCCTCTTAATTTTGCAGCCAGGCACTTCAACTGCCTTGAAATGTCTTCTGTGATGATGCCACATCTTCATGTCTGCATTGTAACATCATGTTTTAATGGGCTGACACAAGACCTGGCTGTCACAAAGCAAAGGCCTTACTGCATCATCAGGTGCCTTTTCAAAAGGGTTTTTCTTCTTGAAAAGGAGAATTTGCTCATTCCCCATCAGATCTGCCAATGACAGAGCAAGTGTGGTCACTGTTGAAGCACTAAGGGTTCTGATACAATTATAGCACTAGCTCCGTCTTTGTCCTCCATTGTCCCTTGTCCTCAGCCCTTTGAGCATAGAGTCCCTCCCCTGTGAATATCACCTAGTGTCCACATCAGAATGGCTTAGCCAGACTAATGGGCTTCAAAACCTGTGAGTCTTCCTCACAGGAGTTTTGTGATGAGGGCTTACCACAGGCTAACTAGAGGCTTTCTCAGCATTGAGGCTTTCTTAGCTTGATGCCCTGGGAGCTCTGCAAGGGAGATGTGCTCCCAGAAAGGAGCACATCCAGAGCTGCTCAAGGGCAACAAGCGTGTCAGTCTTTGGGGCCTGAACAGACAAAATCATGGCCATCAACTGGTTGACAAAAGATTTATAGCAGTAGTATGTTAGCAATTAGTGGAGGGGGAGGGAAAAGGAGAATGACCAGTTCTGTCTTTCTGCCAAAACGTGCACTGATCGGAGAATGACCCTGTATGGCTGTAGATTGTAGATAGTCTCCATTAGCTGTAGCCCATGTAGCCTGTACTGTCACTAATGCCTTCATCAGGTGGGTGGGAGCTGGGGGAGAGAGATGTTCATTTGAGTTTGATGACCAGAGAGCATCTTTCTTTCTAATACTCTCTCAGTCCTCTTTCCTCTTTATGGAGGTCCTGGCTGTGGAGAAGAAAGCTCATCTGTTGCAGTGGTGACCTCCACCCATCCCTGCTCCCCTTTTGCTTTCTCTAGTGCATGACCCTGCCAGTTCTGCTGAGCCTGCAGCTCTTGTGTCAGCGGGGTCTGCTTTGGTCAAAAGATGAACATCTGAGTATTTCAAAACTAAGGAGAGAAGCATGAGGGTTTACAACAGAGACTACAGACTGTAAAGGATTAACATGTTATGGGGTTTTGCTGACTAGGCAGTGGTGTGGGAACAGTCTGCAGAATCCAGCCCTCCCAATACAACCAGCTAAAGAACCCATCCATCTCTGGAGTTCTCTTCACTGAGGCCAGAGGGTGCTTCCTCATCTGAGCTCCAAGAAAGGGTCAGTGAAAATCCAAGCCTTCAAACCTGTGCAACAAACTAGTTGGCAGAGCTGGGGAAGCCATAGCATGAACAGGCCAAAATAGACAATCTTGCCTGATTGTGATCTTGACAGAGAAATAGAGAAAAAAAATAAAGAGCAGGGGAAAATAATGGTCATAGGGACCAAGCACAGGAGGGCATATTTGGAGCCATGTGCAAATCTGGTATTTCCATAAATTCTAAGGCATTTGAGGGCCACAGTTCAGCTGTTCTGGTCACTCCACAGTGATGTGTGCCTGACTACTCAGAGCATGCCTCACTTTGGCAGCTGATAACACCCATGACCCTGGGCGGGAAGCGCAACTCATGGTTCTCCTCGCTTCTCACTGGTGGTTCCAGCCAGGTTTTCCAAAGAACTCATTCTCCATTTAGGGAGTGCAGAAGGGATTGGCTCTGCAGAGTGGACGCTCAGACAGACCCAGCTTCTCTTGCTGATCAGTCAGTGTCTGTCCCTGCCAGTGCTGCCCACTGGGTGCCAGGCCTGTGGGGGTTTCAGGCCAAGGGAAGAGGAAGGACAAGACAGGGTGAAGGCAGGCAGCCAATATAATATTAATTGCTTCTTGCTATTTTATAGGTACCAGGCAAGGGATAGCACTGTATTTTATTTTGACTGTGTGGTTTAAAGTGAATAATATCAAAGTCAATGGTGATGATTGTGTCTTCCAAGAGGGAGTAGTATAGATGTAGCCAGAAACAGCATCTTAGGGAAAATAGAAATGCCAAGAATTATTTGTTACTACAGCTACCAACATTGCTTGGTGGGGTTTTTCTGAATAGCAACAGACAGCTTCTGTTTGTTGAGATTTCTTTAAAAAAATTAAAAACCAGTCTGCTTCTTCCCCCCACCAAAAAAAGCGTAGAGAAAAGAAATGAGCTTTCTGAAAGAAAAAGAGAAACACAGGGGGAAAGAAAGAGAAATGGCTTTATTGCTTGATCTGTTTCTGTACTTTTTGTTCATTAATTTTAATTTAGATTGATTTATTCCAAAATGAGCCTTGGGTTGCATATATTTGCATTGTAGCAGTGCTGTGGAGGATCCAGTGAGTGAGGAAGAGCGCCAGCAGAGGGTAGGAACTGAGATTAGAAGTCCCAGAAAGATATTCCTCCCAGCTGGGCCCTTGCAGTGGGAAGGCATTTCAAGGTCTGTGTAGTCACTGGTGTGGCTTTGCATCCACACAGAAAAACACTGTGGAAGAGAGATCAGGGCA